AATTCAGCCTAAAAAGCCGTTTAATTTGCAAAATATAAACAATGACTAGAATATGAAAGAATTTGAAAAGAAAATTTGTTGTTCCGATATTTTCTTTATCATTGAAGAGTCTTTTTTACGATTTTCTTTTAATTTAAAGAACGCTGTTTTGCCGACACCGAATTGCACTTTAATACTTGTACTTTTATATTTGTGTCACGAAAGGACATGATTTTCTCTCTCAAATATAGTATTCAAGAAATAAGATATCAAACTTTAAGGCAAAATACAAATATAAAAACTAAAATACACAAACATAAAAAATAGAAAAAAATAAATGAAAAAAGAAAACAGTTACAAAAGATACAAATAAAGAAATATATGAAATTAGAAAAAAGAATACGATTTAAATGAAAATAAAAAGAGATCGACATAAAATATGTAAAGGGTGAGTCTGAAAACTCGCTTTCACGATGGTGGGATAAGATATATATGAATTGTTTTTTATGTCAAAAACCAATCTTTTTTAAGAAAATCTAAACAACCCACATCCACTTTTCAAATTATCATTCAAAACATAATCATACATCATAATATGACATGACTTTATGGTCGAACCTTATATTAGAGGTGTTTATCAAGCGTATAAACTGTCTTCAACAAATCACATGGTTCAGAACTCTCGGAATTTAGTTATGGTTTGCATTTTTATCAAAACACAACATGTGGTTTTGTATACATTTTTTATAGGCATGATCCCAATGTGGTTACAGGTCAAATGAATCACTGAATCAACAAGTTTTTATAAACTTGCATTTTTCGTCCAGAACTTCTGGTGCTTGGTCTTGGAATGCTGTACTGGGTACTCAACTAATCTCTCTCACACACACATGTGCAAATGGTATTTAAGAGGGGTTTGGTTCATTTGAAGAGAATGGAAACTAAAACGAGTATAATTAGTAAAATGAAAATTTATTTCCCCGAATTAATAGGGTATGAATGATCACCCATTTTTAACAAATTACTTAGGTGGCATTTGTTTTTTAAAAGGTGGTGAAGTCTGAAGTCTGATTTCACTTTTGATTTTTAAGAGCTGGTACTGAAGTCTGAAATCTGAATCAGCAGACTGTTTGTATTATATTCAACCAAACTTTATTAATCATTATCATTCCTTACCCTTTGGACTGCTTTTTTGGGCCGACGGGGTGTTGAGTATTGGGCCGAAAGTGATCAGAGTTTGGACTTTGGACTGCTTTTGTGGGCTTTCAGTTTGTAAATAGTGTATATATTTAATAGATCTAATAAATCAGTTTCTAATGAAATTATTTTTATCCATTTATAGTTTTATGACTTTACCATTTGAAATATTTATTTAACAACCGTTGATACACGTAATTTGCGGTCGTCGTTTTGAACTAAATTGTCGAGCACACGAGTGAGGTCTTCTAACAACACTAACATTACTCATGAGTCACCAAAGGGCCTTTGGCCTAGCGGTATCGTAGCCCTTTGCCTTCTAGGAGGTCAGGGGTTTAAACCTCACCATAGGTGAGGAGAGTGTGTGAGTTTATTTGTTGCATTTGCCGTATATAAATATTATATACTTCAAAAAAAAAATTACTCGTGAGTCATGCGGCTACGATGAGCCTACTTCGTATAAATTTTAATTTCCAACATAGAAAAATGTTGTAATGTTTTATAATATTAAGAAATATGTAGTAATTACAAGTGTCACATTAAAACATTATAATTATTAAAACCGAAGTTCAAAAGACTATTTCATATTAGATCCAACTTCAAACACACATAAAAAGTAAGGGATTTTATGTTAAAGGATTTGTATTGTATGTAAACATCCAACTATATCGTATTAAAGGGTTTCATTTAATACGATGTCACGATTATTAATATAATGTGGACCAAAACCAACGTCATTCATTGATATCTAGTTTATGCTTAAGAAAAGAAAATTGTAAAAGAACATAATTTTATATGGGTAATATGGTATTAAGGGTGCGTTTGGTACACTGGACAAGGACAGAACAGAACAGGATAGGGATCCTTATTCCATGTTTGGCATGAATTTTATTTGGAACAGACATGAACAGAATGGAACAAAGTGGAACAGTCTTGTTCCACCCCTACCCCATGGAATATGGTGGAACAAGCTTATATTTTACTAATATAATCTCAAAATAAAACTTAATTATCTTTTAAACCATCAAATATGTCTCTTTTTTATATTTTATTCATTCTTTAAATTTTATTTATTGTATTTTATGTTTCTTAAACTTTCATTTTACTATCCTCAAAATATTATTTTTATAACGGTTTTTATATTTTTATTAATTTATGTAATTTATTATATATTAATAATAAAAAATAACGTAGAAAAGAGATAAAAATAAAAATAGAAAACTACATAAACTTTTTATTTGGTGTCATTTTAATTGTTTTGACGAAAACTTCAAATGATATATTTTGTTAATAAAAATAATTATTCTATTATAATTTAATAAATTACATAAATTAATTGAAATAAACAACTCATCAGGGGCAAATTGGTTATTTTACTTGTTCTGTTCTGTCCAGTTTTATCTTACCAAACATTGAACAGTTATCCTGTCTTGTCATGTCATGTCCTGTCTCGACACCAAACACACCCTAAAAGACTTTATAGAAAAGCCAAAGGATATGGTCACAAATGCAATAAAATATACGTTTGTACTGATTTTAACACACTTTCACTATAATCTTTAAAATTAAATATTTTAGAGTTTTTCTCGTATTTTATTATTCCAATAAAATGTCTAAAACAATCGTCAAAATAAGAAAATAAGAGAAAGAAGTAAACGAAAAAAACAACTTACAGTTGGTTGTTTTTAAATTAAATGTTGTGTATCTACGTTAATATTGAAATGTTCAAAATGGAAAAAAAATGTCGTAGTTGAATAATTTAATAAAAAAAATTTAACTCTTATTTGTCTATTTGGAATAAGTTATAGATAAAAAAAAATTAAATACGCTCTTATGTCCTACGTTGATAGCAGATAGGAAACATATCGCTATAAAATAAAGAAACACGTCTTTATAAATATGTATTATTAATCGTAGTTAATAATTGAAGAAAACATTATCAAAAAAAATCTTGTGTATGCAATAAGATGAGTTATTATGCATCAATGTGGATGTGGTGATATTTAATATAGTTGAAAATGAATGAAATTTGGTAAATAGACCTAAAAGTGTGGGGAAAAAAATCATATATAATGATTGAAGATAAATATATAATTGATAAAGTCTACGGATACAAGTCTTCGAAGATAAATTATGGAGATGTTTGTCATAACTTGTGAAACATCGTTGTCAAGACCTGGGCATGCAAATGCAATAAAGAGGTATGCACGCTTGACTGATGCGTACGTTGTCGATCCTGAGCTGGCTTAGGATCACAACAAAATAATTAAAACAAGATATGATATTTGTGGGTTAAAAAGAGCAATTCATTTGGACCACACCGTATGCAAAGTGGTCCTGCTCTCGCTACCCAACACAAATCATCCACGACCCTCATTTTGAAAAGCTATATATATATTTTGTTAGTTAAAAAAGACATGTTCTACGTCAAATGGTAATCTGCATGGCCACCCTTCAACCACACAACCATTTTTGTTTGTGAAGAAAAGACTATCATAGTGATGGCGGTGAACACCAGTGAGTCCGATGAAATTCATACACAAACCTAAAATCTGTATCTATTTGTTTTGGTAAAACGGATAGAGTTTACACAACAAAAACAAGTATAAAAAGAGAACAGGGATAAATGGAGTTCTATAACTTCAAGGAAAGTGCAATAAATGGGATGACGCTATGATATAAAATGGTTGTTTATTTATTATTAAAAACTAATATTTTTTTAAATACATCGAACTTTTACTTTTAAGAAAAAACAGAACAGTTTACACAAGAAAGATTGGCTACTATGAGGTGCACTGACAAAATCATGTCCAAAGAAACATACAGAGAGTATAAAGGCTAAAAAATCATGTACATTATAAAGAGATTAAAAACAAGACAACATGAAACTATGAACTCGTAGAGAGATATGAGAAGCTCATCCGAAAATCTGGTACAGAGCAACAATCTGACTTTCACAGGAGATAGAATCCTTTCGTGCTCTTCTCAAAATCCAATCATATACTCAAACCCGTATGTCATCAAACATTAACTCCATATATAACATCTGTTTCTGGGAAGAAAAAGAACAAGGTTTGGTTTCTAATACTGCCATTGGAGTTTTATCTATGCAACTAGAGATAGAGAAATTAACATTAATACTTATTGTTCTGATACCATGTTAACATATATAAACCATAATGTATTAATGATGATAACAGTTGATGTCAAAACTCTACGACAATTCCGCTTTATAGAATACAAAAAGGAAAAACAAAAACATACCTTATGGCATATGATTGAAATCCCCCCATTGGGTGTCCACTATGCCAAAAACAAGAGGAACCACATCCTTATTTTTCCTTTTTACCTTCCATGTCGTCACACAAAGGGCAAAGAAACATAAAAAGAGGGATTCTATCAACTTGTACATCTTAGGTCTTCCGTTCCATTATCTGACTTATGTTCTTCATATCTACAAAGAAGAAAAATGTAAAAAGTAAAAGTAATAATAAATTGATTTAAAATTACGGACTCCATTTTGTTCAAAAAGCCTTGTGATTGTTTGGTAAAGAAAAAGTAAACACAATTATTCCAAAATCCAAATACTTGTTTACCAAATTCTAAGTTAGTGCCCCCCACAAGTCATCTCTCTTCTCCACATGGCCCCCAATCCATTTTACCCCCCCTCCTTCAATTCGAATCAACCTTTTTCTAAACATTTACTCATTATCTATTTCACATGCCTACTCATATTCACAACTTTCTTCATCCACATACTTGTTCCTCTCTTCTCCCTCATTTATACCCACAAAACCCCTTCATTCAATTCTTTGTTTTTACTCATGGGGTTCTTCAAATTGACACGATTATTGATGCTAATGTGTGCCTTCTTGCCTCCATCCGCACCGGATCCCAATGATGAATCTTGTTTGACCAAATTCTTTGAATCTATGGAAGACCCGAACCACAACCTCATGAATTGGACCAAACCCACCTTCGCAAATCCATGTTCTGGCTTCTTCTCCAACCTCGTCGGCGCCACCTGCAACAATGGCCGCATCTATAAGCTCTCCCTGCCCAATCTTGACCTTCGTGGTTCAATCTCACCCTATCTCTCCAATTGCACAAATCTCCAGTCACTTGACCTCTCAAACAATTCCTTCACCGGATTCATCCCCACCGAACTCCAGTACCTGCTCAACCTCGCCGTCCTCAACCTCTCCGCCAACCGCCTCTCAGCCACTATCCCACCGTCCCTCGCCATGTGCGCTTACCTCAATGTCATTGACTTACACCACAACACACTCACGGGCTCAATCCCACCTCAGCTCGGTTCCTTGGTGCGGTTATCGGTTTTTGATGTTTCCGATAACAAATTATCGGGCCCTATCCCGGCGAGCCTCGGCAACCGCACGGGAAACCTGCCCCGTTTCAATGCCAGCTCGTATTCAGGTAACAAGGATCTTTACGGGTACCCGTTGGGTCCGATGAGGAGTAAAGGGCTATCGGTGGTGGTGATTGTGGGAATCGGGTTGGGGAGTGGATTGTTGAGTTTGGTGTTGAGTTTTACGGTGGTGTGTGTTTGGTTGAGAGTAACGGAGAATAGGATGGCTGCCGAGCAAGAAGGCAAAATCACTCAATTGATGCCTGAATATTGATGGATGAATTTTGGGGGAAATCTCTGCAAAATTTGAAGATGGTGTGGTTTTCTTGTTTGAATTTTGGTCAATTCTTGTCTTTTAACCCATCTTTTTAGATTATTCATCTGAATTTCTTCAAAGAAGGAGATATAATTTTTCTGTAGAATTAAATTACAAAAAACTGCGATCGTAAAGGAGTCGATCTTTTCAATCAATTTCATTTATTTTATTTATTTTCGAGATGGAATTTTCATTTTAATTAAAATTTACAAATGAGATCGACTATTTTAACTAATCATATTCTATATAAATGTAAAGAAAAAAGAAATTATATAAAAGAAGATCCTTGAGTAAATTCTTTATAATAAATTACTTAAATTTGTGTAACGAATTTTTTATCTAAAAATAAACTTTACACGAACAAATGAATAATAAATTTTAACTAAAATACAAATTTGATGGAGAAGTTACCCATTATAATCAGATTTCTATAAAGATGATGTTTGATTGGTTTGAGCTTGACTCCAAAGGTGAAAAATATTAGTAGGTTACAGGTTCAAATCCAATGAGTAATAAAAATTCTCTTGTGGTCATAGAGGTTCAAATGTGATGATTCTGATTTATCTGCAAAACAGATGGTCGTTCTAGGATTAGTCGGCTTACATAATGGGTTAAATATCAGGTTAATTAAAATAAATAAATAACAGAGATAGTTACTAGCCCTTAGGTGTAGGGTAGGAGAAGCATTGGGGCGTGGAACTTGTGGCGGTGCAACTCAAAATCAGATGATGGATTTATAAACACATATTTTGATTTGACTACCATCGCTATCATATATTCTTCCACCCACATTTTTCTAAAATCCTTTTTCGATTTTTTTTAAAACCACCCTCATTTTCTTAAATACATCTATTCATATTAAAACAAAAATGTGGAAGATGTGATAAAATTGCTATATTAATAAATTACCAATTAAAACCGTAAACTTTTCATAATGTTTTCAATCGTCTACCTTATTCTTGCTTGTCCAATTTTATTGGATCACATACATATACCGAATGCAAACTTAGGCTATTGAAAGGTTTGTTTGTCTGTTAAATTCAAGGATTCATGAAATTAATCAAGATGCGTATAAGTTAATATGAACATCCATGATTATTAAGAAAAAATTATAACACTTATCAAATAAATCATTTTTAATGTTTAAAAGCACCGGCTAAACCTTTTTCTTCTAAAATTATCTAACCTTCTTCATCAATTTGACATATCTCCCAATTTCTGGTACTTTGACCAACACATCAACACTTGACCTTATATTCCTAAAAATCAATTGGATAGGTTGAAAATCAAAGTTTAGGAGTGCTATAATATATATATATATATAGAGAGAGAGATAAAACATTTCAAATGCAATTCATCACATTTGTACAACTAATACAATCTAATCCATTGAGATATTTATAGAAATGATGAAAGTTCATTTATTATAATTTGAATATTTATGGAAGATGTTTAGGGTTCATTAATTATGATCAATACTTTATATTAAGAAACAATCAAAACTTTATGAAATCACATATCCATCAAATTAAATAGATGGTTGAGATTGAGTTGTATTGGTTATACAAATGTAAAGGGTTGCATAATAACTTTATCTCTTTCTCTCTCTCTCTCTCTCACACACACACACACACATATATATATCTATACATATATATATATATATATATACTAGAACGGTACTCGTACAATGCAACGAGATAAATCACCATTTAATTGTTTAGTTTGTATTCTTCTCTATCGATATAATATGATTTTATATGGTTTTGAGAAAACAATAATTTTTTTATTTTTGAATAAAATATAAATTTGAAGAGAACATAAAAATTTGAAAAATAAAATAAATTGATAGTATCAAATTAACTATTTAACAATTATCGTTTTTCGGTGTAACTTCTTTAATTCAATTTTTTTATCATACGCTAATTTAGATTTAATAACAAAGTAATTTATTTTTGGTTTAATAATATAAATTTTTATAAAGATAATAGTTAGACATTTTGTTAGAACTCAATGATTATCTTAATTATAATTTAGATTTTCTATATTTAAAATGAATGTTTATCTGCATTTAATTATACAAATTTAAAAATAGAGTTTTAATAAGTTGTACTTATACAAAATTACTTGTAATCTTGAATTTTAAAAAATATGCATTAATAAACAGTACTTCATGTATAAAAAATGGTTTTTAACAGTTTTTAACATATACTTTATAATATAGTATAGATATATTAATTTGGATATTTCTTTATTTTATCATTTTTTTTTCTTTATTTTAGATAAAAATTTAACATAACTATTAAAACAAACTTTTTCTTAAATCTTTAAATTTTTAAAAACAATATAGTTATTAAAGATACTTTGAAAATTACTTTATTTGTTTACATTTACTATATTGTATTAAACAATATAGTTAGTACAGTTGCATCACAAGTCAAAATCATAGGTACTGAAACCTGAAACACTTCCTTTTTCTCTATCACCTCAAATTAGCAACAACCGGTTTCCATTCTTTTTATTTTTATTTTTCTTTAATTTGAGTTGTAACATGAAATGGTAACATGTTAATTTATATTAAAGTACATTAATATGCTAACCTCATGTAAATTTTTGCTAACATTATTTTTTTACCAGTGTCATCAAATTTTTTATTTTTTATCAGAACCCAACCCTATATATAAATAATGAATTGAGAAAAACAAAAGAGTCATAAACATATAAGAACCAATCTCAATTGTTTTTTTATATAACGTAAGACTACGAATTTAGGTATTGCGTCAAATAGTTTATGTTCACATTGTGAAAAAAAAAAACCCTATATAAAACTCTATTAGGGTTCAAGTTATGAAACAAAAAAATACACGATAAAAATGTTACATTGTGAAACAAAAAGATTACATAACAAATATACATGAAATAGTACTTTAAATCTTACCACCGGATAAAAGAAATTATATAAACAATATGTTGAGATTGAAGTTCTCAACGGTTGTAAGGGGTTATTTGGCAGTTGCTGAATGGTTTGGTGCAGAATGATTAAGAAGTATTATTATATATAGTGCAAAATGAAATATAGTTGTTCGATAATTGTTTACAATGAAATTAGGGTGCTGAATGGTTAAGGGAGGTCCATGATACAAAATTATTAAGAGAGTTATAGAACAATTAAAAGACATACTTCTTTTTTGCCAAACAAAATCCATCTCTTAACGATTCAGAAGCCACCTCTAAATGAAACTATTCAGAAGTTGCCTCTAAATCTCATAGGATTAAGAGGCGTGACTTCTAAAAAGTTTAATAGTTACTTATCTATACTATATTATAAAACATTTGATAAAAACTCTTAAAAACCATTTTTTATGTATAAAGTACTGTTTATTGATGCATATTACTTAAAATTCAAGATTACAAGTAATTGAACGTAAGTACAACTTATTAAAACTTCATATATTAAATTCGTGTACCTAGCTGCAGATAAACATAATCAAATAGAGGATAAACATCTCATTTTAAATATAAAAAATCTAAAATATAATTAGGATAATCATTGAGTTCTAACAAAATATTTAATTATTATCTTTATAAAAAATTATATTATTTAACCAAAAATTAAAAAAATGAATTAAAGGAAATATACAAAAAAAGGAGAAATTTTAAATAGTTAGTTTGTATTAATATCAATATTTTTTTTTTCATTTTTTTATGATATCTTCATATTTATATTTTATTCAAAAATAAAAACGTTATCGCTTTCTCAAAATCACGTAAACCATTAAAATCGAGATGTATTTCGTTGCATTGTACGAGTACTCTTCTAGTCTAATTTAAACTTAAAAGCTTTGAAATAATTTCTGTAAACCATTAAAAACGATAGTTGGGCTTGGGCCTACCAAGTCTTTTAGCCCATTAATACGCGATTTTAGGTACATAAGACCCAATAACATCATATATGTTCGGTGGAATTAAACTAATGTCTTCTTAAAAATATATATAATTTAATTTTTAATCAGATTTTTAGTAAATGATAATAACTTTTATGGGATGAGAATATAAGATTGAGAAACAACTCTGAAAAAAAAAGAATGGAATATCTCGTTTAAACCGTTGGATTAAGATGATCAACGAATGTGATTAAAAATAATTATAACCATCTTTTTTAACAATACAAATAATTTTTTTAATTTTAAATTAAAAATCAACGAAATAAAAAAAATCTAGTAAAACAAATTACACGAAAAGACAATCACTTTATTATCTTTAATTTAAAATTCATTTTGATAAAAAAATTCATGGTTCTTTGATTCTCTTTTTATCAAGATTTCTAATTTTAGAAATATAAAACATTTTTGTAATTAGCATGAAATAAAATGCAAACAACATGGATCATGTGGTCGTGGGGTTTTAGCCATCAATGTACACGACAACAATATGAAATGAATTGTTTGACAGAATTAAATATTAAAAAAAAGTAAATTATTGAAAAGGTTATTTAATTACCACTTGGTTTATATGTATCTATACTATATTATAATGTATTTGACAAAAACCCTTAAAAATCATTTTTTATAAGTAAAGTAC